GAAAACCCGCCTGAATATGAATTTAGGTACGGATAAATTCGAATTTAAGACGAGTTTCCCGTCTAATATGAGTTTCCCGTCTCTAATATGAATTCGGCTATTTAAATGTGTGTTAAAACTGCAAGGTCATTAAATCTCATTAAAATCCCACAGACCACAACGATTATACGTATTGATTGTTTCTTGACGATAGTAGACGCGTACGCATGCATGTTGCGTAAGAGGTTATATCGCTGGCCTCAGAATGACAAAACGTAACAAAGCTTTACACTAACCCTATTCCAAACACCAACTTTATAACTTAAATCCCTACCATAACCCTTGCTCGTTATTAAATAACATACCGTAGTAAATAATTTAATCACCATTTCTAAGTCTTTTACTTTTTCGGGACAAAAAACTACTTGAAAAAGAACAGGGCTTTAAAAATGATTTGAAGTAGATAGTTATGATAAGACAGGGGTGGCGCCAGGGCCGCCCTTGCAGGGGGGGGGGGCAAAGGGAGCAATTTTCTCCGCGACCCCAGCTCAAGGACGGCCGGCAAATACAAATTTGCAAGGGGGTAAAAAGTTTGTCGACGGAGGGGTGGGAGGGGAATTATTGTGGTTCACCGGGGCCCCAAAGATATAATTGGCCCTGGGCCCCCATATTTCACTGAGCTGGCCTGGGCTGCGCCAGTAATTCTCCGACGGGGGAAGTCATCGGTGCTATCTTTCGTTCTTTGGCAATTGGCATTAAAACCACAAGAACTACCGACAAGTGACCAGGGCTGGATTAACGTCGCGCGAGGCTCGTGGCAGATTTTAGCGCGAGGCCCCCAACCCCCTCCCCCCCCCCACTCTCCGCCTTGTTATGAAAATCTTTGAATTTAAAGACACACAAAATTGTTAAATAATTTTTTTCAATATTTCAATTTATTAGCATCAATTATAAACGAGACAATGGCCTGTCTGGCCCAGTTGTTGGGTCAACATGTATAAACAGGATCATAATATAACAGCTCAACGCAACTGGAGATTACATGCACACGAGTATTGCATATCTTCCCGGGGCCGTGCTGGGGCCAACTGCCTAAAATGGGTGTGTCCCAACAGAAAATGGCCGTGTTCTCGTAAAAATGGGCGTGGCACAGTAAAGCGCAATGCCCCCATAAGCGCGAGGCCCGTGGCATTTGCCGCATCTGACACATGGTTAATCCGGCGTTAAACTAGCAACAAGCTTCCATTTTTTTTAAACGCGACGTTTGGGGAGACAATAATAATTTCTGGTGTCGCACTGGGGTAACATATCTCAATGCTGTATTTTTGGGTTACTGGTACTTGTGGAATATAATAAGATCAATAAACAATAGTGTATCAAAAGAAAGTAATTTTACTGATTATTTTAACTGAGCATCAAAGTTAACACACATTAAAATAATTATTCTAAACTATTTGCTATAATTTGAGTTTGAGGTGGTAGAATATGTAATAAAATAACAAACCTTGTATGGATTAATGTTCATTTCACACGCACGCTATTAACAGCTGCTTAATAATTAACTTATGTATTCGTAAACATTTATACTCGATAGCATAGTCGATATGTAAAAGCTTGTAAAATGGTACATTATATGGATCAAACTGGAACAAAGCAACAACTGAAGTTCTAATTTTGGGAAATTTAGTAACAAATATAATCCCTAAACAGCTCATCGATTTGTATGTTAGCGCTATTAAAAGTAGACAATATTGAACAGTGATCTGAAGTTATTATGCAACTGACAACAATATTATATCTCAAAATACCTGTATATGATGATATTTTACAAATATATCAGGATTTTTGGACCAATTTTAAACTTAGCAAGGCAAAAAGTCTCCATTCAAGAATATATCTGCTTCTCAAAAGGTAAAATACTTAGAATACTTGATTAAATTGTTTACTTCGACGGTATGTAAATTAACAGCGTTTGCTTGCAAGACGTCAAAAACGGACGATTTCAGCGCGTTGTCGTTTATCGCGTATTCATTTGCCCAAAGAAGTATTTACGTCAATTGAAAGCTTGTTTATTAAAGAGCCAACTAGTAGAAGCATGATCGATTTGGAGCTTTATCCCATAGTGAAAATCGGTTTTGTTAAGAGGGTATCGTAAATAAAGTAAGATAGTGTGCTCCAAAACTACGATTATTTCTATTCCTAAAAGTAACTCAGATTTCTTGTAAGTCACGTACCCGGTCCTTTGAATAACCGAAAACAAGATTTTTAGGGTTTTAGATCGATTATAAACGGTTGTCGTCGTGAAATTTGTCGGTAAAATCAGCGCATATTTTCCCAGACTAAATGGCGATTTAGGGTGGTCGTGTTAAAACGGCATTTTCTCAAAGTTAAAAAAGCATTTGACCTAAAAAAATATATGGCGCATTTTCCGATATAATAAGGTATATCTGGGCAAAATTTGAGCAAAATCGATTTTTCAATCGTGGCCGCGAAAAATCTCATATGTTCGATTTTTACTGACATTCACTCTTAAAAACATTTGTGTCAACAATAATCGATGAAAAAGCCGCAGAAAGTGCCGTCTGGCGATCACCAAGCGGCGGCAAGTGGTGTTTCACCTGCAAAGATCTTGAGAATACGTTGCACTCGAAGAGTGGAGCAATAATTTTTGATGGAGTCAAAGCGGGAAATTTGGTAAAGCGAATAAAAGATATCCTCTCAAAGCCAGACGATGGGGAGAAGACTATCAATAGCGATCTTAACATGGAAGCGAATACTGATCGAGGTTCGTCACGCATCATTGAAAACGAGGTATCTAGTCATAACAGTACTTGCTCTGTAGTTATAGAGGGTATAAAACTCGAGATGGTAATTTTGGAAACCCGGCTACTCAATACCATAAAGGAGAATAAGTCAGACATTTGCTCGCTTAAATTTAAAGTCAAAGATCTAGAAGGTGTCATCCGACATCAGGATGACGCAATTATCAAGCTCTCAGAAGATAATTTAATTTTAAAATCTAAATTATCCTCTTTTGAAAACTTAACTTATAAAGTAATCTGCCATGACCATGACCATGACCATGACCATGTGAATAATGAACGTGCTAATGAGTCAGCCAGTACAACCCAGGTTAATGACCAATTCCATTGGATTCCACGACAAAGACCAACTGACTAATTTGAATGCCAACAATTCGAGGTTTATTGAAACTTCAACCAAGGAAAACCCCTCTTTGCTTAATGGTACACAAATTCCGGATCCCCACGAAAAGCAGCGCTTGACAATAGATCTAGCTACCCAGCGGAAAAAACGGATTAACATAATGACTAATGTAGTTAATGACCAATGTGAATCCCAAGATAATGACCAACCCACTAATCTGAGTATTAACAATCCAAGTTTTAATGAAATTTCAACTAATGAAAACCGCTCATTGCTCAATAGTACACAAGTTCCGGTTTCTCATGACAATCAGCGCGTGACAATAGACCTAACTACCAAACCGAAAAAAAGGGTTAACATAATATACAATCCACAACCTGACAACGAGAATAACTTGGGCAATAATCGACACCCTCGTGCAAAGCACAACACCCCCTGCCCATTCCTTAGGCGCCGAGGGTGGTGCGCAAAAGGAAACCGATGTGATTTCAAACATCCGCATGAAGAACAAAAACATTTGGTGCCCTGTCCTTTCCTACAAAAGCGACGCTTCTGCCTTAAGGGCACTAGGTGCGATTTTTCTCATTGCGCCACTTTTCCTCATAGCATACAGCCAATAAGGCCTATCAAAAACTATCCTACTCCTCCGCTTTTTTACGACAATCGACAGCCTATGGTCCCACAACAAAGAAAACACTGGTCGGGTTACAATCAAAGCGTTCAATGGCACCCCAATGGACCGGGATTTTTCAATCTCCCCCGAAACCACTAATGGAAACCCCTTTATGCCCTCCCTACACCTTCCAAGTTCCCCCCTATTGCAGGGCACGGTATGCAGAAACACTGGTGTAATCCCTGTGATCACAAGATCCTTGTGAGAATTACTAACAACCGTGCAAAAACCGTCGTTAACCACATTAATTATCATAGACAACTGAAATTAGTCAGTATACTTCAATACATGACCAGGCCATGAACCGAAACAACATATCAAGATTACCGAGTTTTCTTCTCATAAATGCTCGCTCACTGTTCCCCAAAATAGACGAGCTATCCCTCTTACTATCAATACATCCTATAGAGTTTATTGCTGTAACTGAAACGTGGCTCAACGATACTGTTCCTGAGCAACTAATTTACATAAATAATTACAACATTTTTCGCAATGATAGATCT